TAGTCACCGCTCCAAACTCACTCCCGGGATGGACTACAATCTCATGTTTAGTGTACTGCTTTATATTGAGATTGTAGTCCATCACGGGAGTGAGCTTGGAGCGGTGACTACTTTACAACACACACAGGGACCATGGGGAACAAAAGTTCAGAGATGATTTGAGGATCTGCAGCCGAGTGATACACAAATAAGATACATTTTTGTTAGTTAAGGTACTTAAATGCATTTCTACCTGCAAATGCAGTGCTCTACATAAACACATAGAAATGTATACAAGGTGCAGTAAAACTCACAATTAAAATGTACATACACTTTTAAAAGCATAAGTGTGCATGCACGGGCCGTGGACTGAACTGGTGGACTGATTTGCTAAAAACACGGATTCAACCAATTTTTGGGTGCCCGAGCAGAACACCGAATAAAATATTTATAAAACACTCATTGGCCGAAAAGTAGACCATTTCCTTTCGGCTTAAAAAAATAAAAGACATTTTGACCCATTTTAATCTACAGTAAGCAATTGCTGATTTCCAGTACATGCAGGTTTTATAAAGACCTTCCTATAATGCGTATGGAGCACTTGACAAAGGCTGAAAACCAAAAGATTTTTCTCCTTATTTGTCTGAATTTGTCGAGAGCTTTTACTTTACATTTTTTTCTGATATAATTAGTAATACGTTTTCTTAAAAGATTATTAAACCCTCGCGTGTTTTTGCATATATCTACTGCTAGCAAGCAGTAGATACAGTGGTACCTCGGCTCACAAACTTAATTTGTTCCACGATTCTGGTCAGGAACCGAATCAAACTGTGAGCAGACCGCAATCTCGACTAGAGGAAGCCACAACCATGTGTCAGAGCGGGGAAGATGGCTGCGGTTGCGTTGGTCACCCGATGGGGAGTTCGGGAACAGAAGCAAAATTCTGCCGAACTTCCTGTTCGTGAACCGAATTGCTCGCGAACAGAAGCATTTAGTAAACCGAGGTACCACTGTATATGCAAAAACACATTTTTTTTCTAAATACAAAAAAAGTGTTAAAAAAAACAAAACTTAGCCGAGTCTCCGCCGCACGTTCCTGTCCGAAGATCTGAAGATTCTCGGGCGGCCACAAAAGGAGCATGGGGCAGGCGCATGCGCAGTTCAGATTTTCGGCTGGGAGAAGAGGAGAGACACAAGATAAGTCAATGGAGGCAGCGTGCACCCGCACAGACTCCGTGGGACAGGAAGTGAGAGGAGTCAACGCTGGATCGGAGCCTGGCACCAGAGCTGGAGGGACTCCTGAAAACTACACTAAAGAAGATGATCAGAGGCATCATTTAAGATAAGTCCTTACACTAGCATTGGGTGGGGAATTGCCTTTAATGTCACTTTAATAACCCATAACTATTGCCCAAGATTTATGAATGACCCCCCCTTCCCTGTAAATTCTTATTACTTCTGATCTACGGCTGTTCTGGAACGGCAAGTTCTTCCAATGCTGGGAGCTTGAAACTACGGACAATTGGCGAGCCAGTCAGATTTGCCCTGTAAACTAGAGAGTTGCATTGCCAACATGAACTGCATGACACACAGGATAATCTGCCCCAGTGTATTGCTGTGCATACGAACTCTTACCATTTATTAAATAAATACAGTGTTACATATTCACAGTTCATTCACTGCTACTGTGTAGTATATATTAAAAAACAAAAACAGAAATGGTGTCTCATATAAACATTGTGGTTGAAAGTTCAAGTCAAATGATACTCTTTGCAACAGGCAAGATATGCAACATGCTCAGCCAAGTTACATCTGGAAAAAGGTGCAAGTTATCCTACGATAAATATTTTTATGCCGTATCATGAAAATACCCATCTTCTTAAAGCTTTGCTTTCAAATAACAACTTTCATCTGCTCCAGTTGTCAAAGGGTAACCTTAACATGCTGAAGAAAAATAATGCAGAATGGAGAAACCTTTCAAACTTACAATTTTGTGCTTTTGCTTTTAACAAAATGTGAGGCCCTAGGACTGCAAGACCCTCCGAGAGGCATCTTAGTCCTATCAGCACCACGGGAAATCCAAAATGATCTAGCAAGAGTTGCCAAGTGAAGTGGTGACCATATATCAACTCTCCCTGGATGTACACACCCCTCATAAATTTTCGGACCCAAAAATGGGAACAAAAAGAACCCAGCCCAGCCTGCCCCCAAATATCATATCACCTATATATAAAAAAAGATCTCTTTTCTAAAGGATACATTAAGACCAGAATTACACAACTGCTTCTATAGAGCGGAAAATGTACAGGCACATACAGATACACAAACCCAAGCAAGAGAACAGGGGAGTTTCGGAGAGAATATCACACAAAATTTACATTAAAGAAAAAAAGTTTGTTTGTTTTTCTCTTCTCTTCCTCTTGGAGGGATTACAAATGAACTTCTGCAAAGTCTTCCTTGGTTTGAAGCATTTGGAACTGTATAAAACAATATTCCCCAGAGATATAGAACAAGCCAGTACAAAATCAGGACAGCAATTTTTTTAACTTTTTTTTTTTAATAATATTATTTTAAAAATAAAATAAAAAATAAAACAGAATAATAATAAAAAAAAAATATAAAGTCAAGCAAGAATGAGGCACTGTGGAACCTGAATCTGCATTATATATGGGGTGGGAACACAAATAATGATGGTTATGTACAATGACCTAGAAAAAAAAAAATGTAAAAACCTAAATTGCTTTAACTGGAGATTTCTACTGGCCAGTATCTGTTCAAAGTAGGGCAGATAACTCCCCAACGCTGTAACGTAGAAGGTCAATGAACCCTACAATGAAGGCTTCTGACAGCATGCATGAGTGCTCAGAGTCAATGTCATGCTGGGGCCTGTATGATATGTCCTACATCCTTAGGCCTCAATAGCAAATTCTGGTCTACAACGATTCCCACTTCTGGTTCCCGTCACTGACCACAGGTCAGATTTTGGGGATTTTATGGCTAAAATAATTGGTGTGCTTCCTTCCAGATGATGTCAATGTTTTGACAACTTCGTCAGCTCGGAACAGGAAAGAAGAAATATGTGTTGGACCTCAACTTTAAAGTACATACAATGTGTGGCTACTCTTGCTCCTCAATACCAGCCCTCAAGTACCCCCCAACATCAATGGATTTCCCAAAGAGGGAAGAGGTTCGGAAACTAATCAAGTGACACAGATGACAGCAAATTCAATCTCCGGTCTAAAAAGGGTACTGGTGGATCAAAGTGGAGACCCTCCAGTAAACAAATTTGTGAAGAGCAAGTTAAAACACACTTTGCACTTATGGACTTACACAGGGAATCAAAGTGTAACCTCAGTAAGCCCAGGCAACCAATCAGCATTCTCTTTTCATAGATCTGCACTTTACCCCGGGTCCTTGCACTCTAAAAACCATGGACTGATAATGTAACCAAGACGTAGGAATTAAGCTCAGTGGCAATCTCCAATGGACTTAGAGAATGGATTTTGTAAAGACCTTGGTTAAAAGGCATCAACGGAATCGAAATGGAGCCAGTAAGGTTAAAAGGTCCCATATACAAGCCTATGTCAATGTTAGCCAGTGGGCAGAGCAGAAAATAAGTACACAATGCTTTTACAAGTCGCTATGTCCCACTTTGCACATTTGTTGGTGGATTACAAAATCAGATAGATTAGTTTTTACCTAACCTAAGATTTAGATTTACCTAAAAGTGTGTTTTGTTGTCATGCCTCGTGAAGAAGTATTTGTTGGCACCACTTTCTGCTGGCCAAACTGGGAATTTGCTGGCACCACTTTCTGCTGGCCAAACTGTCAATTTGCTGGCACCACTTTGTTGGCCAAACTGGGAATTTGCAGGCACCACTTTCTGCTGCCCAAACTGGGAGTCTTAAAGACTAGCTATTGCTGGACACCGCCCAAGATGACATTTGCACTAAATAATGGTTATTAAACCCGTTTTGTATTTCTGAATAGTCTGGGAAATGGTTAGAACACTCATGTGTTTTTTGTTTGCTCTCTGGGTAGACTGGGAAGACTGCCCTCACTTCCTCTCCCATTGATGGGACAGAGTCTATACTAAACCTGACAGAGGGCTGTGACCTTTCCTCACTCTATCCAAATCTTCTGCGTCTCTATAGTAAACCTCTGTCATTTTTACAAATATAGTACTAACCTGTTTTAAAAAAATGGGAACATGTAAAAATTATATATTTAAATAGGTGTAAAAATACACAGAACCTGCATAATATTTCATTACAAGAAAACCACAGGAAAAAAAAAAGAATGCATAGCAACAATGCAACTATTTGGGCCTCTTGGAGCCTTCATGGTTCTCAGGTGTCTAATGGCTAATTCAGCATTGAGCAGGTGATAGGGTCACCTGAAATCGAGTGCTTACATGAAAATGCCACTTAAAACTCGGGGGGCGTTTTTAAATGGAAGGTGAGCTTTGGCATTTTTAAGTCTCTCACCACCAAGTTTTCCGTTACTGGGCTCTACCTTTCAAAAATGTGCACAATTCCAAATGCAGTCTTCCCACTGCTATATCTAAACCTGAAAGTCTTACCCAAAGCTTATTAAAAAAGGAAAACTTGCCTCGCCCCCAATACACTACTTTGAAGAGGAGCCGTATTTTAAATGAAACCCACAACCCCTACATGTTTTCCAACAGTACATCCCCAATCTTCCCTACTTCCGTTTCACCCACCCCCTCCCGGGACACAAGAAATGCCAAGGCCCTCTTGTTCGGAAGCAGTTAAAGGGTCCACAGTACCTCAGTCCTTCTTTAGCTCTTTAGCTCTCACAGTAACCCCTTTCCTAGAAAGGCATGACCTGAAGAAAAGGGGTTCATTTTAAAATGTCATTTTTTATTTCAATTTACAGGTAGATAAGTTCCAACTTTTTTTTTTTTATTTTTTTTTTTTGTATGGTTTTTTTTCTCGGCTTTTATTTTAAAACAACATTTTTTTGTTCCTCCGCATGGGCCTGTTATACACATATATATATTTTATTTGAAGGGTTTTGTGTGTTTACTGTGAAGCCTGTGAGGTCGGGTTTTCTGATTTGCTCTCTTGACTTGAAGGCGGTTTGCTGTTCCAGGGGCTGTTGGCGCCAAGCGCGGGAGAATTATTGAAGCTGTCCTCGTCGTCAATCCCATTGGCGGCGTCAAATTGAGTGTTCTCCAGGCGGGTTATCAGTCGTTCGTCTTCATCCCCGAACTCTCCGCCCATCAGGGTTGGTTCGCCCACCACCATTACATCCTGAAAGGGAAGAGTTCCACAAACATAATCAAGGTAGAGGCGAGTCCCTTCCTTCCACAACTACGCGTGGTCAGAAGCGGCTTCTTGAAGCTCAGTGGGCAGCTGAGGCCTGAAAAAATGCATGTAACATAAGGATAGTGGGATGAAAGTGCTAACGCTATCACAAAGAAGCATGTGTAAGTCATTGAGCGATATAGTCAAAGAAAATAGACAGTGGTGCATTCTATGTAAAAAAAAATATATATATATATA